GGCGTACCGCAGCCCTGCTGAGCAGCCGCGGCCGTAGCGGCCGGCGCTTCGGGAGAGGCATTCGCTGGATTATCGGGGCGGATGGCGAGCGGATAGAGGGAAGCTGCAGCCATTTGCAAGCGCTGCCGGGCAGCCCGTGCTCCCGAGACAGAGCCGCCGAGAGCCGCATTGTTGTGACCGAGTGTGCTAACAGTCTCTCTCTGCCTCCCTGTTTCCCTTTCTCTCTCTCTCTCTCCGTCTGTCTTTTCTGCAATGATGAGGCAGGCCCCAGCAACACGGAAGGTACAATCTGCTGCTGTATCCACACCGTCATTGCTAATGCTGCTTCTGAACGTACCTTGTTTTGCTCTTTTTTTTCCTTTTTTTTCGTATGTTAACGCTGCTGGGCTTTAATTGCGAGTTTGACTCGGTTTCAGGTGCCTGTGGACAGACAGGGTGGGGGGAGGTTGCTGAATGAGAAAGCAGCATCGTTTAACGTCTAGCTTTTTCCTTTCAAGTTTCCGCTCAAGTCATTTCTCCATTTCACCTGTCTGTGCCTGTGTTGCATGCAGCATCTCTGCAGCTCGGCTGGGCTCCGGTGGCTTCCCTGCTGCCGGAGGTGCTGGTGCTTGCCTTGTGGAAGTTGCATGTTAATAACAACAACGTTTTTCCTGCCTTAGCGATGCAAGCCGTGCCGTTGGGTTCTGCCTGCTTTTAACATTTCCAAATGTTTGTCGTATCTGGATTTTCCCTGTCAAGCTGAACGTTTCTGCAGGTTACAGCACGGACTCTGGTTTGTGCTCTGGTAGTGTCCTATATGTTTATTTTTAGTGTAACCAGGATGTCACCGTTCAGCTTACAGAGAAATCCTGAGAATTTTTTGCCTGATCTCAAAGAAGAAGTGAAAATAAAAACAACCAAAGGCACAAACGTGCAACTTCACTGGCCGTGCTGTGTCAGCGAGAAGACTTAGTTTTATTAGCGTTACAGTAAATGCTCCTGGTTTATGTATGTGGTTCCTCGAGCTCACCAAATACAGCGAAGCACTTTGTTACATGGTGATTACTTTAAGAGCTCCTGTTTTAATCCACTTCCAAATGGAAAGTTTTACAAATGCTGATTTCCCTCTGCCTCCAGCAGAAGGGTAGAGCGGTGGGGCCAGCCCAGTGCTCAGCGCCCTGCCTGGCCAGGGAGCTTTACAGATCTGACAGCCGCTTGATTTAATCCTGTTTTTCCTGTTGTTGCTTCCCCTTGCACGTGCTGTCTCTGCAGGGGATCACGCCTGTGAGAGAGTGCGTGTGCAAGGTGTTGCCGGTTGTTTAAAATGCAAAATTTCTTGTAGCGTACGCCCAGCAATAACGCAGGTAACATCGCCCCGGGAAAAACACCCCGAGGGAGCTTGTCCTTCTGCTGGTGGAGTGCCGTGGGGGTCGAGACAGCGTTAGTGCCAACAGGTTTTGTCTGGAGAAGGCTTGGTTGCTCCGAGAGGCCGAGCTCCCTGATGGCGAGCGGGATGGCGTCCTGCCCGCTCGGCTGGGCAGTGCTGACCTTCGCTCGGTTAACGCCTGGGCGTCAACTCCAGGAGCTGCCAAGCCCCGCTCGGGGGGTGCACGCCGGCCCCCTCCACCCGCTGCTGGAAACCCTTGTGGGAACTACGTGGGAAATGTCTGCAGCAGTGGTTGCAGTCTGAGAAGTTCTGCTTTTCTGCATCAGAAGCCCTCAAACTTTGTCCAGCAGAAGCATTCAGCAATACAGAACCAGCCCTGCCCGGCGTGAGGTGATGTTAATACAAGTGTGCTCGTCCGTACTCACGGCGGTGCCGAGGTTTAGTGCTCCCGGCTGGGTCTGGGTCGAGGCTCCCGCGCTCGGAGCGGAACCGAGCTAGGAGGGACCTGCAGGACCTGCGATCTGCAGCCCCGCGTTCGAGACGGGCGATGCCGGCTCCACCGCAGGCGGTTGTTGGTAGCCAGGAGGACTTTTGCCAGATTTCTTTCTGCTAGAAGCGAAGTTTGTATCTGAGCGCGCCTGTTCTGAGCCCCAGATGCTCTCCTTGCTCCTGAGTGCAGGACCTGCCAAAGGAACAAAGGTTGTGTAATGTCATCAAATATTTATGCAGCAACGTTACGCAGCAGAGTTCAGAACTGCCAAATGAAATATTAATAGCCACAGATGGGTGGTGCAGAGCACCCCGGGATCCAGGAGGGCCCAAAGTTTTTGTATTAAGCCACTGAGTGGTCTGGAGCCCGGCAGAAGTTCGACCGTCTGCTCCCAGCTCCCAAGCAGGGCTCCTGGATGCTCCCGCAGCCGTGAAGAGCTTTTGTTGGTGGAGTCCTGCTGCCTCCCTCCTGCGCGCCGTCTCCCCGCCAGCTGGATGCCGTACCCCAACGGCTAGAAGGGGGGAGAAGCCAGTGTCCCAGCCCAGCCGCCTTTCTGCCAGCCGCTTGCACGTGCTTCGTAGAGCACAGCGGGTGAATTGCTGACACGAGGCATGCTGTGTGACAGCCGGGTGGAGAGGAGGACGGCCGGGGCGGCGGGGAGCCCGGTCGCCCTCCGGCCCTGCCGGAGAGCAGCAGAGCATTTCTCTGCCCCCCTCACCAAGGAGCTGCTCGCCCGGGGGATCTCGGAGCTGACACTTCAGCTTTTTATGGTCTTCACGCGGCGTTACATGGATGGGGACCGAAATGGCCTTCTGCCTTACACCAGAGGAGGCATGAAACCAGGATTAATCTCTGTCATTTAGCGTGGCTAGCTTTTAGAGGAGGTTACCAAGAAGCTTCTCCCTTTTTTTAAGGGTTCGGTATGGTTTGAGTCGGGGAAGATGCTCAGCTTCTCCCCACCCCATAGCCCAGTAGGGAAGGGTTTCAGCGGTCGCTTCTTGAGTATTTCCCCCGATGTCCGGCTGCTGCCACAGGCAGCGTTAAGCTGTAGAGACTTGGTTGCCGGTGTGAAACGCCCCAGCCCTTGGCTGCTTGTGTCTGCCACGCACCGGGGTGCTTTCGGTGCTGACCGCGCAGAGCAGGCAGCAGGACGGCAGGGAGCACCGTGCCCGGCGGTGGGGGCTCTGCTGAGTTCCCCCCCGACGTGCTGCGCTGGGAGCCACGTGCTTGGCAAGGAGTGGAAGCGTCTCCCTGCGCGTGGCTTGCAAAGTCCTCGAGGGAGGGTTTTTTTTGGAGCGGTTTTCAGATTTTTAGTGCCACTCAATGTAATCTTTATTTAGTAGGACTTTTGAAAGATGCTGGAGTATTCCTGAAGAGCTTATACTACTGCTCCTAAATCAGCCCTGTATTTGTCTCAGGGTTTTAAGCTTTTACTGTTGTCATTACGTTTTCCTGGCAGATTTTGCCAAGCAGGAGATGTTATGGAAGATGGGTATCTTCCCCTCAGATTTGAAATGGGCCTCCCGTTGAGTGCAGCCTTTTAGAAAAGGCTGGAAGTGAGCAAATAGGGTTCAGCCTAGGTAATACAATAGATGATCAGCTATTTTGAACTGATAACTGGTCCAGTTATAAACTATATTTAAAAAAAAAAAAAAGTAGCTGCAAGATCTCTCAGCTGGTTTCCCAAGGCCTTGGGTGGGAATATGGCCATTGCTTCTGAATATCGGAGAGAAGCTGTAGTGGTGGATGCGATGCTGCGCTGGTCTGAGACGGGGGGGCTGAGCGTTTGCCGACGGGCTTTGCACGACCAGATGTCTCGCTCGTGGCTGCATCCTCGGGGAGTGTCATACGGCAGCGTTTTTATTGATCTTTTTCTGTTCTCGGTTACTTTAAGCTGTGGATTAGGTAATAGAATAAAAAATGAAGCAGAACGTGAGAAGCTTTAAAACGTGCTCCAGTGTTTTAAAGCTGCAGCGGGAGAGCAGATGCCCCTGCCAGCGGTTCCCTCTGCCCGGTCCGATAGCTTCCAGCGCCCGGGGGCTCCCTGCCCGCACCCAGGGCGCTGCCCGTCCAGCTTCCCCCGCTGCCGGCTGGCAGAAGAGTGCTGCCAGCTTCGCTGTTACCTCTGGTTATATCGGTTTGGGGTGGAGTATTTCTTAACGGGAAGATTGTCCTGCTGATGCCTAAGTGCACAGCAAGGACGTGCTGAGATACGCGGTGTGGCCTCCCCACCTTTCGACGTGAGAGCACCGACTTGGTGATGGTTGTGTTACTGCTGTGCTGCATGTGCAAACGGTGGGTGTGTTTCGGGGTTGGGGGGAGATATGGAAGCGTTTATTTCCAGAAATGAAAGGAAAACGTGGAAGTGTTTGAAAAGAAGCTCCACGTTGTCCCTGCGAGTTTTATGACCAAAGAGAAATAGAGCCCGGGGGCTCCAGCATCTCTGTGGGCAGCTGGTTCGGTGCTGCTCTCGTCCCTTCAAAAAAACAAAGGGGTGAGGGGAGGGGGGAAAAAAAATTTTTAAAAATAAAACCGCCTCAACCTCACACTCCAGTGACCTCTCGGGAAGGTGTGTTGAGTTAAACCCGCTCCTTGTCAGCAGAACCGGGTGAACCCTGAGCAGCTCTGCAGCGAGGTGGCTGCGCGTTTCCAGGCTGACTCCGGGCAGCCCAGATTTTGCCTTTGAAGCTAAAGGTCTCTCAGACGTAAATGGTGCATCTGCCCCCAGGGTGTCTGCTGGAGTCTGGGGTTGGCTCCAGGTTCGGGACTGAGGCAGTCGGCCTTCTCCCCGGCTCTGTGGTCCTGCACCTTGCTAAAGGGGGAGAAGCGGGGCTGGAGCACGATGAGCGATCTCTGGTCTAGGCGAGAGAACCTGACCGGGAGGCTGAGCTGCCGCCGGGCTCTGTTCCTCTGTTTCCGCAGGAGCTCTGCTAGCAGGGTTCCACCTGGAGCTGCCCTGGGAGCGCGGGTTAATGAGCTCGTACACCTGATGCCATGCACACTAATTGCCGTGATGTCTTTTGTTTCCTTTACCTTGTTCTCTGCTGCATCTGCTGCTGTGCTGCTGCGGTCTGTATCTCTGCTCCTGTCTGTCCCTGTATGAATGTCTCTCCTCCTCTGCCTTCCACTCCCGTTGCCCTCCAGACCACCGCCCGGCGGCCCAAGGTGAGCAGCTGCGGTCAGGGGGCACTGAGCGTCCCCTCTGTGTTAAATATGAACTCGATGAGTGCTAACCCCAGCGTGCGTTTTCTCTTGTCCTTCCATCTGGTCGTGCAGAGCCTGGAGGGGCTCACGGGAGCGATGTGCTCCTCCGGAGTGTGTCTAAATCGCTGGGGAGAACCTACCTGGGCAAAATGTCTATAGAAAAGCTTTGTGCTCTTAGCCGGAGCTCATCTAACGGAGCGGAGCATAAAAGCGGTGTAGTAATGCCCAGTCTGGCTGGCTGGCAAAGCACGCTGCTTGGTGTCCCTGTTAATGTTAACTTGCTTCTCACTGACTGCCATTTTCCTAGCTTACGTGGGGTGCTTTTCAACGGGATCTTGAGGGTGTCTGTTGGAGGAGAGAGGTAAGAGCCAAGAGGTGTCATCCAGGACAGTACTGATTCCAGCACAGAGAATCGCTCACGTTTTGAGGTCTGCCCCTAGCCAGCAGGACTTGCCTTGCAAAGGGGCACATGGTTGGAGGAGAGCAAACAGGGGAGATAAATCCTCAAAGACCTCTATAATAGCCAAGTTATTGGCTAAAAAACCCCAATTTTTTTTCTCTTGTGTGCAGGGGGTACACTGCAGGGAGGGCTTTATTTTCACTGGCTTGTACAAGAAACTCAAACCAGAGCAGCGACGGATTCGTTCAGTCCCAGGCCAACTGGGATCCCAGCTGCCAGGCATCTAGCTTTCCCCTCTGAAAAACATCTTGTTAACTGTCATTTTGGCACTGTAGGGCCAGAGCCCAGGCTGAGGTAGGACCTCATGGGGAAGAAAAAAGAGTGACAGAAGTATATGAGCGCAGTGTGAGGAGGAGAGTCCACCGCTCCTTCTGTAGGGGTAAAATTTCCTCTAAAATGTCTCCTCCCCAAACGCTTGAGACGCGGCAAGGATTTTGCTGTGAGTCCGTGGGATGCATTTGCGGTGAGGCAGAGAAGTGAGCTCAAGGTAGGCAGCTTTTGCGTGCTGGCGTGGATTTTAAGCCAGTTTCCAATCCCAGCTGGAAGCTTACCCTTTACCAGGGCAAGTCCTGGAGAGCTCTCGGTGGGTCACGTACCTTTGCCCTCGGTTTGAACGATGTTCTTGTTCTCTGCAAGCTGTGCTGGAGAGGAGCAGTGAGTGGGTGTCCTATGTGACCTCCTCCTACTCCTTTGGCCTCACATCTACACTGGGCAAGAATTAGATGGGGTTGAAGACACCCCTGCATGCCCTCACATCTACACTGGGCAAGAATTAGATTGAAGACACCCCTGCATGTGTGCTGAGGTCAGAGCTGTTGCCAGTATTGACCAGCTGCTCTGGCATTCTGCAGCGTTGAGGGCCCCCCTCGAGCCGCTGCATCCTATTCTGGTCGGGCTCACAGATGCGTCCACATCCGATGGGGTCAGCTGGCAGGCCGCCTTCTCTGGCGGCTGGGACCTTCCTGGGTTCCTGGGAATGGATTTTCAATAGGAACCATCAGTGAAGGTTGTCCAGTAGCTGTGCAGAGGGCTCTAGGGGATGCCGTGCTGCATTTTTGGCCCTTTCTAGAAGAAAGTACGTCCCTTGGACCTTCCCTGACCCTGCCTGCCAAGGCCAAGTTGCGGGTCTCCAAAGGTTTCTAGCGCTTCGGATGTGATAAACAGTGGAACCGTACCAGGTGTGTCCCTGGTGATGCTGCTCTGTCCCCACAGAAGCTGAAGGCTCACTCTGTGAAGGGTTTTTAATCCCTAAAGCAGCAGGAACAAGAACGACGTCCTTGTTTTCGAGTAGTTTCTTGGAGATAGCACGTGTGGCTGGGTGCCACGGAGACTGTTCCCAGGCAGGGGCTCACGCCGTCCCTGGGAGAGCCCGGGATCGCACCTGGGAGGGGAAGGCTGAGCTGCCTGCCCGTCCGTGGGGCGTTTTAGCTATTGCAGTCGAGTTAGCTCAGATTTGCCTAAAAGAAGCTAGGAGTCGGCAGGAGATCCGGCTACAGCATGGCAAGTGAGCGCCTGGTTTCTACGTCCTGCTGCCGCTTTAGCAGGCGGGCGCAGGGGCGTAGATGCTGCGCCCGTCTTGGCTGTGTCCGCGCATGTCCCCGGCCAGCCTGGGGTGAGCCATGCGCTTTGCGAAACTGCAATGCACCAAAAAGCCAACCTTGAGGAGTAAAACAAAGAGTCAGGAAATTAATTTACACAGCGTTAGATGCCACAGAGGTGAGTGCTCCAGAAATACAGGTCCGTGAGGACAACAGCAGAGGTTTCTGATGGACCTGGTGCTTTCCTCCAGGCGTCAGCTTCCCTTGGCCACCTGGGTTACATGGCCAGCCTCACTGCCGGGTTCCCAGCCAGCAATTAACAGCCTCATAAGCACTGATGAAGCAGCTCTCTGCTGCTCTGGTTCCTCCAAGCTCCACTGGTTTTTCCCTGGACTCTGGTTACCTCTTGCTACTCTTTCATTTTTCTCCTTCTGTTCCCCTAAAATTCGGTGCTTTGTCCCCCCAGCCGGTGTAGTTGCAGACAGAGGGTGCAGGCTCGGGCGCCTGCCGCAGTGTGTCCCCAGCAAGCTGCCGGTGGCACTGGCACGCGTGCGCGGGCACAGCAGCACCTGACTCAGACTCCTCCAAATGCTTAGCAGCAGATGTGTCCCGTTGTTTTTCCAGATGTGGAGGATGGACAGGGGCGAAACCTTCCTCGCTCCCGTCTCGGTCTGCTTTGAGGCTTTGCTGTCTCATCCTTTGGAGCTGGAGCACTAAAACCTCGGAGCGTGTTTCCACTCTGCAAACACTACCGAGGACCCGCCTTAGTCCCTGCTCTGATCCCCTCCGACACGCTCACTTGATAGGCAGGGTCTGCCCTCAAGTCCCGGGACCTCGGGGTGTGCGCTGGCCTTGCTGTGAAGAGCAAGGAGATGGGTCTCTACCTGCAGCAGCAGCGTAGGCAGATGTGGTAGCGCAAGGAAATAAATCGGCACGGTTTGTAGGGAGAGGCAATCTTTTATCGTCCCTGCTACTGCAGGAGGGAGGAGAGGGACTCCTCCTGTCTCAGGCCTGAAGCAGGGCTTGTGTGCTCAGAAAAAGACCTGGTTTGGTTTTTTAACTATGTCACTGGTGTAATAAAATTTTACCTTTCCCTTCAACAACTGATTATCTGTGAATTTTGGCCAAGCCAGCGTCCTCCCGGAGCAGCGTAAGACCACAGCGTTCATGCTGCCGGGGAGTCTCTGCAGTAGTGCCGGTCCTCGGCACGCTGCAGGTCTGGGTACGGCGAGGGCACGGATGCGCTCCCTCCAGCCAGGGCTGTTTTGCCGTTGATGTCCCCCCTGTCACCGTGCTCTCTGCCAAAACAGAGGGTTGTGCCTGACTCAGCCCTCTCCCGAGGGAAGGTCCCCTGCTGAGGCTGGACCGTGGTCAGTCCCAGCTCCCCTCTGTCCCTATCCCAGCGGGTAAGTACCGACCCTGTGTGAGAGGCTAAAGCACCTCTGGAATTTTACTCTGGGTTTCATTTGTGCTGGAAATGCGAGTCTGGGAGACAGTGGTTGGCCTGGAGAGACACCCTGGTGAAAGGAAAACACAGTGGCTGAAGTGGTGTCGAAGGGCGCAGGGAGATGGACCGGTCGTGGAAGCGTTGTCTCCCTTGAAACATGCTCATCTGACCTTTCTCCCTTGACGTGTTGTTTCGCAGCCCACCCGGACCCCCAATTCTGCAGCATCCAGCGGCACGGCTGGGCCCTCGGGCTCAGCCTCTGCCTCCGGCGGGGAGATGAGCAGCAGCGAGCCCAGCACGCCTGCTCAGACGCCGCTGGTGGCCCCGGTTATTCCAACTCCCTCCCTGACCTCTCCAGTGGCACCTCCGGTTCCCTCGCCCACAAAGGTAAGCTGTGGGCTCTGCCGGTGTGGAGGGTGGTAGCTCCTAAGGGGAGGAGGAGAGAAAACCTGCCACCAGTACTGGTAGGAGGAGGATGAGGAAAAAGGGAGCTAGAGGTCCTCTGACGGGTCCCGGTGGTGGTCACTGCGCAGGGCTTGTGTGACCGCCCGTAAGGCTGTGCTGGGTTTAGGCACCACGGTCTGCGGGAGGAGCAGAGCAGCCAGGCGGCTGGGGGACAGAGAGGACCGTGCACGGCTTGGCGGGGAGTTGGCCAGGGACAAATGCAGAGGCCGACACACCAAAGCTGGAAAGACACCTCCAAAGAGAAGAATGCCGTAGCTTAACTTGGTTCCCAATGCACGTTCTGCCTTCATAGAATCATAAAATCATTACGGTTGGAAAAGACCTCTAAGACCATCGAGTCCCACTGTCGACCCAACACCACCATGCCCACTACACCATGGCCCTAAGCGCCTCATCTACACGTCTTTTAAATACCTCCAGGG